GTCCGCTGGCCATATTTGCAACCCAGGACAGCTGTCCTGGTCAATTTCTTTTCCTCCCTTGGGTATTGATCTAATTTCACAGATGCAAATCGCTCTTAAATGTTACTGAAATCACCATTCAGATATTATGTTTCCCCTTCCTATTTCTTGCAGCACATCTCCTAACAGAGAAACCCCCTATAGTCACTCAAAGTTGCTGCCCTAACTAGAGCCACCAGCATGGCATGACTCAGAACTCAGCCTCAGACCTCTCTTGAGCTTTCTCCTGCCAGAGGGCCAGTTGAACTTGAACCTTAGTGCTGCCCCTGTGACTTTCAGACTTCAGGATGCTGGTGATGGTGAGAGAGCCAGTGGCAGAATTAAAAGTAGCGAATCCAGCCAGGGGCTGCATCACACCGTTAGGGTTCAGCAGGTGGTAGCAGGTGCACTCTGCAGCCAGAAACCATCCTCGTTCCTGGCAGGGCTGTGCGTTTGTCTGCACCACGACATGGGTGTGCTCATGCTGCTCAGCAAGGGTGCTTGCAAAGCTCTCGCCTACCTCTGCCAGGCTCTCTGCTGGACGTGTGGCTCTTTCTCTGGAAACACTCTTTCTCTTGATCCGAGTACTGTTTGGCTTCCTGTCTCGATGGCAGGCAGGAGGGCATAGACTTACGGTGGTGGCTGCAGACGGAGAAGGACATGGTTCTTTGTGTTATGTCTAAAGATGTCTGGATACTCATTCATCACACATCTCTTCAGCTGCTGGACTGTACGCATCCTCAGGGAAGAGAAGAGACATTGACTCCCTCTGTTCACCCCATCCACCTGCACAGGGCTTTGCGTTTACTGATCCTTCCTCTCATCCTGCCAAACTAATTGTTCCTATGGAGACACAGAGAACGTGAATCCTTCTGGACCTTGACCTCCTAACCTTGGCCTTGTATCCAGCTGAAGGGAGATCTGTCAGTTGCTCTAACACATTTGTTCATAGAGTGTGGCTCCTGGACCTGTGGCCATCGGCAGCATCACCTGGGAACTTGTCAGTCGTGGAACTTACCTCTGACCTAGTAAATCAGGAATTCCGGGGCTTGGGTCTAGTAATCTGGGTGCCTTCATGTGAATCTGAGGTGCTCAAATTTGAGGACCACAGCTCCAGCAAAAGCTGAAGCTATCACCCTAACTTCTCCCACTCAGCGTCATGGGCAGCTTTCCCAACAAGCATCCTGAGAGATGCCTTTGAGAAATGTAAGCGCTCCGGGAGACGTGGGGCTCATTGACAGGTCCTTAGACTTGGTTTTCATGCTTACTTTTCATTTCATGTAACTCCGTATTTTCCAAGCTGATTCGACTATAGAATTCTTTTTTAAAAAAGATTTTATTTATTTATTCATAGACACACAGAGAGAGGACATAGACACACAGGCAGAGGGAGAAGCAGGCTCCCTGCAGGGAGCCCGTTGTGAGACTCGATCCCAGGACCCTGGAGTCACGCCCTGAGCCCAAGGCAGGTGCTCAACCGCTGAGCCATTCAGGTGCCTCTGTCACCTGCTCTTGTTCCTGACACCTCAGCATATCTTGCCTTTACTCAGCGCAGAGCCTCAGTGTTGAAGCTCGACCTCCTTTGTGCCCCAACTTCTACGAACTTATTCATCACCATAGACTGCTCCTGAATCAGTAGTGTTTCCACCAGGTTCAAGTGTCAGAGAAGAGTCACAACTGTGCCATTGTGACCATCCAGACCGTGGAGTGAAGTGGCTGGTGTCAGAGTTGTACAAATATTGGGCGAGGGGTGCCCTCTGGAGCCAGTATTATGGCTGACCAGCTCCACAAACATGGGAGCGTGGCTTTTTCTCAAAGCTCTTGTGGGGAGTAAGGAGCCTGGGGTGCAGGATGGAAGGGACCCACGGTTTGAAGGGAGAAGAACTGGAAGCTAGCATCGACTGTTGTCTTCTTTTGGCTTCCACTTTTCCATTGGTAAATGGGGGCATAATAAGATAGTAGGCAACTATCTTGGTGATTAAATTTTAAGAAAATGGTACATGTGAAAAATCTCTTAACCTGCACTATGCTACAAAATGTTCACTACTGTGATATCAACAAAACAAACCAACCCTGAGGCTGTGTTTTCAGAGGCACTGCCTGGCATGTAGTAGGTGATCAGAAAACTTGAGTCACTTATTAGACAAGCAGAGCCTTGGAGGCCTAGGCTACTGCTCAGTCCCGAGGGACATCGTTCCAGCTGACAGATAAGAATGATTTGTAAGTGGCACAGGCACTGTTTTATGTTTCATCGTCCTTGGTATTGATTCGTGTATCAAAAATTGTATTTATAAAAGAGCACAAAAATAAACCAGCCCAAATTCTGCAGGATGCATCACCGGTTCTGAATTAATGAGGTCCAAATTTATGACACTTTGGAACTGTCACTTCCTGGCCCTGCCCTGCCATCATTGGGAGCGGGGTAGGGAGAAAGTGACCATGTCATACAGGACATTGGTCCCTCTCTCTTTGCAGTGCACAACCCACCCTCCCGACTCCTTCATCCCTAAAGAAGATGCATTTCTCCAGGTACTGGAGATGGTTTCTGGAGCTGTGACATGGCTTGGGGTAGGGGCAGAGTCCTCTTAACTCCAGTAATTCTATTCTGTCAAATTCTGGGTTGTGACCACAGTATTTTATAGCAATAGGGCTCATCATAGCAGGCTGTACGCCCTGAGGAATGGGTATGGAGGGCACAACAGAAGTGGTGGCAAAATCCTCTCAAGTTGTTGTGCTCAGACAGTTCTCAGAGTTTGGTCCCTGGACCTGACAGCATCAGCATTACCAGACGACTTGATAGAAATGCAAAATCATGAGCCCCGTCCTAGATCTCCTGAATCAGAAACTCTGGGAGTGGGTCCAGCAGTCCGTGTTAACATACCCTCCTGGCTTTTCTTTTCTTTCTTAAAGATTTTGTTTATTTATTTGAGAGACAGAATGAGCAAGAGAGAGCAGACCACCAGCCAGGGGATGGGCAAAGGGAGAAGAAGGAGCAGACTCCCAACTGAGCAGGGACCCCAATGTGGGACTCGATCCCAGGACCCTGGGATCATGACCCAAGCCGAAGGCAGGTGCTTAAACAACTGAGCCGTCCAGGGGCCCAGCCTCCCATCCTGGCTTTGCTGATGCACACTCCGGTTTGAGGACTCTTGGTGTTGGAGAAGAAGGAAGGAATCAGGCCAGCCAGATTCTACTCATCAGAGGGAGGGCTCTGGAGCTCAAAACTTAGATAGTGGGTGGTACCAAGCACCCCCGAGGGTCCAACAGATGTTCATTGTACCAACTGAACAAACTGAACTTAGATTATCTCTCCATTTACCCCAGGGCAGTGGTTCTCTTTTCTGGTGGCACATTAGAATCAGCTAGAGAGCTTCTTTAAAATGTCATTGCCTAAGCCCAGACCTCAATGAACGGAATCAGAATCTCCGGAGTCATGTCTGGACATTCACATTTTTAAAAGCTTCCAGTTGGTTCCAACATGCACCTAGATTTGAGCTCTACTAATGCAGAGGGCACCCTATTAAGAAAAAATGTGTTTAGGTTGTCTTTATATTTACCCTGCCTTTTTTTATTAGAAATTTATCTTATTTATATTATGAAAGAAAAAAACTTGGAAAATATGGAACCATTGAAAAGAGAGAAGAAATAAGACTCAGGTTCTAATTGTCTGAAGGCAGTTGGCAGTATCACTTGTGTTTTTTTCAGATTTTTTTTTTAATGCTCTGGTTTGACTTTTTTACAGCATTGTGATCATATATAATATAGCATTGAGAGAAAGGGGATGGAGGGCCAGAGCCAGGGGGGTAAAAAGAATCTCGAGCAGATCCCACATTAGTGCAGAGCCCAGAATGGGGCTGTTTCACGACCCTGAGATCATGACCTGAGCCAAAACCAAAGAGTTGTATGCTCAACTGACTGAGCCACCCAGGCACCTCATTTTCTGTCCACATTTTAACTTAACCTTGCATCTTGGGTAGCTGTGCACACTGTCTTACTTCTAAGTAGCTTTTAACGTGCTCCTGTAGCAACATGACGAAAATATGACTTGTCTTCATTTTCCTATGTCTCTACCTCAGGATGACATCATGGAGTCCTTTTTCCTTTCCCATACCTGTATTTCAAGAGCATTGCGGAATCCTGTTTGGAATGTCAGAAGCAGAATAATACTCTCTTTTCGCTTTTAATTTCTTCTCCCAGGAGCCCCATGCACCTGCACGTTTTCTCAGCCCAGTCCCACAGGTAGACGGCTGCGTGAGACCGACAAGGGATAAGGTCTTATTACAGAAAGTCAGGAGGGGAAAGCAGGAAGGAAATATTTGCCTGGTGTTTTACAACCGCCGTCCTGTCCCTCTTCATCGGCTGATGCCAGATCTCTCCGAAGCCACGAGGCTGTGTTTCCACGGGGTGTGGTGGGACTCATAAACAGTCACATAGAGAGCAGCCCTGACCAGACAGACAGACCCCAGCCTAATGCTCTGGAAAGAAAGAAAACAAATGAGCGAGGCCAGAAGGAGCAACAGGGGAAAAGCTAGGCCAACGCACAGGATGGTGGGGCAAATCCACTGATGTTCTGGTGCACTCGGTCAGAAATGCCAAAATCAAGCCACGTGGACTCCTATCCCTCTGCTTGCCGTGTATCCTTCCTATAACTTTTGTCTTTGTTGTGCAATTATATATATATATATATATACATATATATGTATATATACACATATACATACACACGTATATATACCCACATGTACTTGTATATATACTTGATATATATAGTTTTTATATATACTGTGTGTATATTTGAAATATATATTATATATGTTTATAAAATAATATATATATTTTTTTCTTGATGGCGTCTACCTGCTGCCTCCGCTGCTGGTTTGAAACTGACTTCCTCACCTCTACCGGGTGAGCTGGAGCTGCAGGGCTTGCTTTGCTCTTGCTGCCATGGGTCTGCCAGGTAACTCTGCCCCATCTTCTTGCAGGACATTATGGGAAGGATGCTTACCGAAGTGGAGGACCTGATCTCCATAACTTCATCTCATCTGGATTTGTCACGTTAGGAAGAGGACACACGAAGGGTACAGTGGAAACCATTTTTTACTAAAACACACAGGTTGCCTAGGGAGCCCCGATCTGAAATGTGAAGATGATGGTGGAGGCCAGAGGCTTGTCTGGGACAGGGGAAAAGCAGGGGTGGTTCCGTGGCAGCTTGTCCTGGTAACGTACGTGGCTCCTGACAGGAGGGACCAGCAGGTCACAGGTTTGCCTTTAGAGGACTATAGACTTGCACGAGACATCCCTCCTGCCCCGCCCCCGGTGTGGAGCGGGACCCCAAAGCCAGGGCTCCTGCGGGAGGGACCACAGGCAGCGTGGTGGGAAACTACCAGCGGACATGACACCATTGGAAAACTGTTTGCTCTCCTCTTGGCTCTTACCCGTTTTCCTTTTTAAACCACATTTTATAAATTGATGTCAATGTTCTGTACTGTGGGTTTTGAAGCCAGCGTGCTGCATGTTGAGAGTTTCAGTGTCCTAAGTGTGTCTATGTAAACTCTTGGGTGGGGACGCAAAGGTAGAGGTCACGCAGACCTTCAAGCCTCAAGATGAACGCTCACGTGGCATTTCTGCTGAGCTGCTTTATGACCTAGCTGACAGCTTGCAGAGCATCTGTGCAGGGGGTATGGAATCCTCGATTCTGTCTTTTGTTTAAAGAGTCCTCCTAGTGTTGTGAGCATCCTGTCATATCAAGAGTAACCGGATCCCTGACTCCTCTGATTACCTTCCTAACACCTGTGTACTGTTATAGATCAACTGTGAATTCTGTTGTAGGGATGCTGTATCCCTGTCTTCCTCTGAAATATGTGTCTGTTTTAAGTGTGAGCGAACAAGGACCTTTGCAATTTTTTCTTACATTCCATGCAACTACTTTTTAAATTCCCTATGTGATGTTTGTTCATCCTATAGAGAAAAAAAAATCTGTATCTGTGTATGTATTTTCTGTTGTGTCTCTTTGTGTCTAAATAAAGTTTATTGAGGATACAGGTGGCATTTGTGGCTACTCGAAGTTGCAGAAATCAAATTGGGACCAGAAGGGGAATTGGGCTGCACGGTTAACCAGCAAAAGACACGCTCTTAGTCATACCCCTGTTAGCTCAAAGCTAGGACAGCCAGCCCCCACGTCATCTGCTCTGTGATGATTACGTCTCACTGACACAACTAATGAAACAGATCTGAAACATCGCGTTTTAAAACAATAACAAATAAATGTATTATCTTGCAAAGTTTGGGTGGGTTAGGAATTTGGGAGCAGCTGAGCTCAATGCTTCAGGGTTGGAGTCTCTCATGAGGTTCCAGTCAATATTCCAGCAGGAGCTGCATCATCTGAAGGCTCAAGTGGGGTGGAGGACCTGCTTTCAAGATCATCCACACACATCATGCTGGCTGTTGGCAGCAAGCCTCAGTTCCTCCCCCACCATGTTTGCTCCACAGGCTACTTGTGTGTCCTCATGGCATGGTGGCCGGGCTTCCCCAGAGTGGGTGATCCAAGAAAAAGAAAGAAGGAAACCCAAATGTCTTTTATGACTAAGCATTTTCTCAATATCTTATTGGTGACATGAGCCAGCTATCTTCCAGATGGATGGGAACTACACAAAGGGGGAGTATCAGGTGCCAGAGATCCTGGAGGGCCATCTTGGAGGTTGGCTACACCACACTGTTACAACCCATGGGGCAGAGCTACAGATCTGAATTTTTCAAACAGAACATGGAAGCTCTTTTTTTTTTTCAAAACTATTTGATTTATTTTTTCATGAGAGACACACAGAGAGAGGCAGAGACATAGGCAGAGAGAGAAGCAAGCTCCCTGTGGGGAGACCAAGCAGGACTTGATTCCAGGACCCTGGGATCATGACCTGAGCCAAAGGCAGATGCTCAACCAGTGAACCACCTAGGTGTCCCAGAACATGGCAGCTCTTACCAAGCTTTCCCAACTGCAGTGGTTTCCCACCCATACCCTGGACCCTTATAGGTGGTCCAACCTGAAACACCAAACAGCTCAATCTAAAGAACTTTACATATATATATATATATATATATATATATTTATATTTATATTTATATTTTTATAATTTATTTTATATATATAAAAGAACTCTTCAAATGTTATGGCTTTGAGTTCATATGCTCATTCAACAAATATTTCATGAGGCCTGCTAGATGCCAAGCAATATTCAGAAGTAAACAAAATGGACTCTGCTTCTGCAACACTCCCATTCTTCTGGGGAAGCAGACAAAATAAATCCTTGACAACACAAGCATGGGGAAAACCCCAAGCAGATGCAGGGCAGGGAATGCTGTGGCAGGAAGCCACTCTTGTCTGGAAAAGCAGCTTGGAGGAGGCGGTAATTGGGCAGAGACCTGCATCCCAGGCAGAGGCGATAGGAAGGTGGCCCTGAGGTAGAAGCTTTATTGCAGCATCGAGAAATAGGAAGGGGGTTAGTGTGAATAGCACAAGATATTTCCTACAGGGTAGGAAAGCACAAAAGTAGGAGGACTTGGGACCAGAGCCCGAGGGGAGCCAGATCAGGCATTTATCTGACGGTGGACACCAGGTTGCTTCCAAACAGACTAGACCCCCATCAGAGCAACATAAAGGCAACTCTCTGTCCCTGATTTGTCCTCTGGGTTGCTTTCATCTGGGAGGCTCTACCCTGCCTCGGGTGTAGGGCTTTGCTGTGTCTGCTACTGAGTTCCTAGATCTTAGCTTGTCCAAGTCTCCTGCAGCCTTCCTGCAAGCACATGGGACCCCAGTCATCACCCTCACCGGATCCCGTTGATCATTCCCTTCCTATCAAGGTCTCTGAAACGTCCTCTCCCCTCCAGGGATATACCTTGTGTGTATTTTCCTATTTAGATAATAACTAGAGTTTCATGAGTGGGGAAGCTGGAGCTGGGGGAGGAGCTTTGGAAACAGGGATCTCTTTCCAGTATGAGGACTCATTCTCCCTGCACAGTCTGGATCTCAGGACAAGGGCCCAGCTCCATCCTGCCTTCCTTCAGAGCAACCAAGTTCAGCTCTGAGTAGTACCTATAAGCATAGCGGCCCCATGGAAACACTTGGGAAGGTAACTCCCCACAGGCATCGAACATGGGGCCATGTTCATCACCTGGGTTTTATGCTCTTCCTTTTTTTTTTCTATGTATTTCTTTTGGCTTCCCCTCTACTCTGCTACCTCTACCTTTATCCCTGTCTTCTCTTCTTCCTACATTGGCTTGAGGCCTTCTGGTGGCACCTGGCCACTGTGTAGCCCCACTTGCAACACTTGGAACCGACAAGGTAGCAAACTCCTGCTTTAGAAGGTCATACCATTGCCCTGCCAACCTGCATCACCCGAATTTGAATATATTTCTATCAGACTGTGATATCTGAGAATCGTGCATTGATGGCCCCTGTTCTAGACAGTGCATCTTTGGATGCTTGGAGGCCTCCAACCCTCTCTACTATTTCAAAGACCCCAGAGGCATCATGGGGAGAGAGCTGCACTCTAGCTTCATTGGTGGCTTGTTCAAATTCAGAGAGTTGGGGGTGAGAATGCTTTGGAATGAGATCCATAGAGAGTAGGATGCTTTAGAATGAGATCCATGGGTACACAGGCAATTAAACCTTCTGAGACAAAGCCTACACCAGGGGCTGTTTTTTGGTTAATGGGATTGTGAAGGTGAGACATTAAAGAACAGAAATTCTGACCTTGGGGGCTTTGTAACCACAAAAGCCCCCTGTTCCACCCCTATCCTGTTAGGAAACCCTATATTTTAGCTTAGGAGGCCACCCAGCCATTGGTCAGCCTCCCAGGGGGCATAGCACTGCCTTAAGTTCACAGGTACTAGACTTTGTACTGATGCCCCTTTTTTCAGGACTAACTGAATGATGTGCTCCACTTTCTATAATTCTTACTTTTTCCCTTATTTTCTCCTTCTAAGTAGTTAACTGTCCACTACTCTGATTTCTTCCTTTTACTTCCTGCTTCCTCACCCCTTAGGCTAAGTGGAAGTCAAGGCCAAGAAAGATGTTATTAGAGTGACCATGAGTTTAGCCCAAGTTCCCCCTACACCATTACCTCTGTTCTTTAGACAGAATTACCCAGACCCATATGGGACCCCAGAGGAGTCTGGAGGAAAGCAGAGCATCCCCCTAGCTGCCACAATGAAAACCCAATGATAAAAGTTCCTATTTGCTGAATATTTACTATGCACCAGCACTTTGACATATGCTGTCTTATTTTCACCTTTATGGTGACCCCATGGGAGAGCTCTCATTATCCTCATTTTGCTGGAGAAAACTCAAAGTAGAGCAGTTGAGTAATTTGCACAGATGAACATCAAATAGTCACTTTCATTCTAAATCCAGACCTATTTCCGAAGATCATGCTCCCAACCACTGCACATCCTTCCTCTTGGACAAGGAAGGGGCCAGAGCAGCGATGGGCAATGATTCCACAGGAGGGGCCCATCGCAAGCTCTCCATGGCCAGTGGCTGTTCTTATTAAATGCACACATTTTGGAGGATGTGAAAATCACACAAAAAGAAGATGAACCAGGAATAGTACACCACTCGCAGATGAGCACTCGGCTGTCCTTCTAGAAAGGACGTGTAGGGACGCCTGGGTGGTTCAGTGGTTGAGCGTCTGCCTTAGGCTCAGGGCATGATCCTGGAGTCCCGGGATCGAGTCCCACATCGGGCTCCCTGCATGGAGCCTGCTTCTCCCTCTGCCTGTGTGTCTACCTCTGTGTGTGTGTGTGTGTGTGTGTGTGTGCCTCTCATGAATAAATAAATAAAATCTTAAAAAAAAAAAGAAAGAAAGAAAGGCCGTGTAGTCTGCTAAGATCAATTTTCAGGATCTGTCCAAAGGAACACACTTGCAGGGACCCTATTCTACTTCAGCATTTTGGTTAAAATGTCAGTCGGGCTGCCCGTTTTTGAGTCTGGTCAAAAGAGCTACAAAGAATTCTGTCCAGAATCCTCCATGTGTCAGTAACATGGATCCAAATGATCTCTACCAAGGTGTCCCAGGCCGAGCCA